AAATATGAGTCAACAGTGTGATGCTGTTGCAAAAAGCAAACATGATTCTGGGATGTATTAACAGGTGTGTTGTGAGCAAGACACGAGAAGGTCATTCTTCCGCTCTACTCTGCTCTGGTTAGGCCTCAGCTGGAGTATTGTGTCCAGTTCTGGGCACCGCATTTCAAGAAAGATGTGGAAAAATTGGAAAGGGTCCAGAGAAGAGCAACAAGAATGATTAAAGGTCTTGAGAACATGACCTATGAAAGAAGGCTGAAAGAATTGGGTTTGTTTAGTTTGGAAAAGAGAAGACTGAGAAGGGACATGATAGCAGTTTTCAGGTATCTAAAAGGGTGTCATAAGGAGGAGGGAGAACACTTGTTCACCTTAGCCTCTAAGCCCATTGCTTCTTGTTCTATCCTTAAACTGCAGCAAGGGAGGTCTAGGTTGGACATTAGGAAAAAGTTCCTAACTGTCAGGGTGGTTAAACACTGGAATAAATTGCCTAGGGAGGTTGTGGAATCTCCATCTCTGGAGATATTTAAGAGTAGGTTAGATAAATGTCTATCAGGGATGGTCTAGACAGTATTTGCTCCTGCCATGCGGGCTGGGGACTGGACTCGATGACCTCTTGAGGTCCCTTCTAGTCCTAGAATCTATGAATCTATGAATATCATTGAGTGTCCTGCTTCGCTCTCAAGAAGCCTATTGTGCTTGCGTCCTTGATAGATGTTAGATCCTGCTACTTTGGCCCTCAGAGCCCAACATGTACAAAACAGGGCATGTGTCTTTAGTGCTGAGAGAGTTTTTTAATATTTTTATTGATTTAATTTTATCCTGGCTCTACATAATTGAGGATTCTAGGAGATTTGGCCCAAAATAACATTCACAAAAATAAACAAACCCCACAAAATTCCAAAATAACTTTGTTAAGTGGACACACTCTCTGCTGTGAAAAAATATACAAAGAGATATTTATATCATAGAGGAGAATATTCCCAGATACAAACAATATTAAGATGGAGTACAAATACATATTTGTAATTTAGAGTAAAATACATTACGGAAGGAGTTGTACTTATAGGAAAAAAAAAGAACTCCCAACTTAGGAAAATCCAAGATAGATTTAAAAGACAGTGAAACATGTTACGACATGGAAATACACAATGAGGACACCAAAACATTGCAACAATGTCCTGTAATGATTCGGTGCAATTAACATATCATTGTGATTAAAGCATTGTAGTGTTTGAGATTCCCAGATCTGATTAGAAAGATTTTTAAAGACAAAATGGAGTTTTTCCACATATTTCCCTCTACACCACACAGTTAAGATCATTTGGGTGCCTTAACAACATTTTTCTTACTTAAAAAAAAATCAAATGCTTTAAAGGGTAAACCTTAATTCTGAATGTACTTGGTTTTACAATGCTTTGGTCTAGGTTAAGTGTAACATCCTCGTCATGTCGTAAGTTATGGGTAACTACTGACAACCTTAACTCTATCTTAATGTAGTTTTTTGTCTGAGAGTTTCCTTAGGTTTACTTATGTACATACATATCATTGTCATCATCATGACATATGCACAAACGCACACACACAATTTCATACTTAAACACTAAAATTCTGGAGACAACTCTGCCATTGGCCAGTAGATGGCAGGATTTTGATACCACCTTGCTGAGTGTGATTTCAGGCCAAACAGGCCAGTTGGTTTCGGAAGGTTTCTTTACTGGTATGGTCTGATGAAAGAGGAAGAAGAATTGAATGAATGGGCTTCGCTGATCACCATCTTTAAAAAAACATAGCTAACTGTGAGCCCCTTAAACCCACAGCTAATTCGTTACTCATATGAGCAGTCTCTGTAAAATACATGTGATTACCTGTAACAGGAGCATGACTGGCCCTACATCACTCAATTATTATAGATGGGCTTGTGTTTAAATATACGGAAATCTGTAGCAGCGCAGCCTGCTCTGCTACCCATTCATAGAGTCTCCTCATTAAATAACAAATCCACCACTGTAACCAGCTTAGGCCATGTAAGCCTCAGTCTGGGCACTTGAACACCGGAATAGTGCGTATCTATAAATAGGGTTACCATAATCCAGCAAGCAAAAAAGAGGACGGGAGGAGCCCCA